AAAACCCGTGCTCAATCGACAACCAAAAGATTTAAGAAATGCGTGAAACCAGCACCATTCATTCATTATTCATCAAGAAACGAAAAATTAACTCAATTTCAACTCAAGAAACCAAGACCCCTTTATCTTCCCCCCTCCATCTTGAAGAACTCAGAATCAATACAATAACCGACATGGGTTTTTCAAGAACTGAACCCAGCAGAGAAATTAAAAAAAAAAAAAAAAAAGGAAAAGGAATCAACATGCTCATAAAAATTGCCGGAAAAAAAAAAATCAGTAAAAAAAGTGTTCTTGAACAAGTTAAAATACCTCGACGGCGCTTTTCAGCAATTCGTGACTTTTGATTTACTTTCTACAATTAGCTATTGAATTATAAATGAATTTTAAAAGTTGATAATTTTTTTATTTTCTATCGCTTTACATATATAATATATCAAATTAATCATCTTTTTATTATCATCCATATTGCATATATGAAATAAATAAATTATATTTATCTTTATAATAACAAAAAAATAATAATATTTACTAAAATTTATTATAAAAATAAAATTATTTTTCAATTGATATATTTATTTTTAATGTAGTTATACGTTGTAAGTAAAAAAAATTATTATAATATAACACAAGTAAGTCGCACAAATAAAAAGTGACATTCTAAATATATAATAATATATATATTTTTATAAAAGGTATTTAAATTTTTAACTATTTTTTCTCATTAATCTTAGATTTTAAGAAAAAATTTAGCGAACACACACGTAATACACGGACATTGTATACAGACATTGTACTAATATATTATTGTTTGGCAAAAGAACTTTAGAGTTGGCCCGTGTTTTTTTAACATCCGGCCGAGTAATTGACCCGTACTAGCCTTTGACCACCGATTCAATCGTGATACCACTTAATTAACTTAAAAAAAAAAAAACTACTTTACACATATACGCAAAATAACTAAAAACGCAAAATAACTAAAAAAAAAAGTTAAAATATGTACACATGATGTGTAAATCTTCCTAACAACCTACCCAAGTAATTAATTGTATACCTCTACTACAAATTTGGAAAGGACTTTTAATACAAATAATATAGGCCACACCAGTCCAAACCTTAATTTGAAAAGGACTCCTAATACTAAAAGGAGTTGATATACCTTTCCTTTTGGCTCTCTCTCTATATATTAAACACCAAAGCCTCAAACCATTGTTATCTTTCCTTTGGCTATTCCGGAAGCTTCCGGTTCAACGACATCTTGTTGGTTCAACTTATTTGTCTTTGGACGTTTTCGAGTCGAGGATATTCGTTGCATGGTAAGGTGATGCTTGTGGGAATGTCTCTTGATATGCAATTAGTGAAAAACTTCATGCGAGGGGAGTTTGAGAGAGGGGAATTGGAAGAGAGGCGTTTCTTGTAGTTTTGTTTCTTCTTGTCTTCTCTTTGTTTTCTTTATCCTTTTATGTGGTTGGTGGGCCTTATTTTTGAATGTTTAGTATTCTTTACGTGTGCAGGTCTTTATGAGTTCGGTTATAGGGGCAATTTGTGTGTCTGTGATTGGTTGGTCAGTTTGACTTCTGTATTTCATTGAATAAATAAGAATATTTATGTTCCAAACTGATGATTCTGTTGATTTTTTGGCGCTTTTTGTACTATTGTCTGTGATATATAAAACTATTTTACTCTTTAACAAGTTGTGTATTGATTAATTAAATTAAATTAAATTATGTACTTGTGAATAGTTATAATTAGTTGTAACTTAGGCTTGTATTGAAGAGAAAAGTCAAGTTATTATTTATTTTATTACGAAGCATGAGAGTTTAACTGTTAGACTCAACGAATAATGCTCCCCTACCCACGGTGGACACATGTTAAACGGTGGACATATTAACATGTAACCATCGTGGATAAATAAAAATTGCTCTATATTCAACACATCTATCTATCTATATATATATATTAAAAGCCAACTTATTTACCAAAAATAGTAGCAAGAAAAGTCAACACACATTTAATGCATACTTTATTTGGAAATTTTTTACTATATACATTAAATGCTTGCATATTTACTATTTAAATATGATCTTCAAGATTTTTTCCTTAAATAATTTATGCAATGATTTTACTGATATGCATTATAATTAATATTTGTCGAGTAATATTTTTTAAACTTTATTTAATTATATAACACTAATATTTTTAAAAGAAATTAATATTATTTATTATTTAAAAGATAATAATCACATCATTAAATGATTTTATTGATGGTTAGATAATGAAATTATATTAGTTATTCTTTAAAATTTTGACATGTTATTTATTTGTATATTATTGTCAACTATGATAGTGTTTTTATCACTTTTTTTTTTTGTTATGTTTCAAAAATGAACTTATTGTAAAATATTTTTCTATTGCATAGTATGTTAAATAAACTATAAAGCCTTAGGATAAAAAATAGAAAAAAATCTCTTGATTATGTAAGGGATTTATTTTTTGGCAATTGCTAAATCATTTTTTTTTTATTTTAAAAAAAAGAATTATTATGAGAAAATTGAATTCTAAAAAATATATGTGTATTTTGTAAACATTTATACTCAAAATTTTATTTTGAATTTCATTACATAAAGAAGACTACTTCTACAACTTTTATAAATAATAATAATTACATTATAAGACTGTAAATTTTATAATAAAATAATAATTGAGTATTATATGGTGAACAATAATTAATAAAATTTTTATTTTTTCCTATATCAATGAATAAATATGTATTATAAAATCAAATAAATATTAGTATGATGTGTTAGCGGAATTATATATTAATTAACATGTTAATTTTTTAGCTTAAATAAACGCCACTTATTAAAAGATGTGAAATATGGATGATCCAAGCCTATTGTTTTTTTATCTAGACGTACAAGTCCTATAGAAATAATTGATTTATTATATGTATCACGTGCATCGTACGGGGTATGCACTAATAAATGACCTTAAAATTGTGCACCCGTGCATCACCCGTGTTCACATTTTGGCCTATTACAGGTCACGTACTATATATATC